AGTCAAAATCCAGGCCTAAACCCAATTGAAATGCTGTGGTGGGCCTTTATGAGAGCTGTGCATAAGCAAATAGCCACAAACCTCAATGAAGTGAAGTAACATTGTAAAGAAGAGTTAGCCAAAATTCCTCAACAACAATGTGAAAGATTGATTGAGTCATACGGAAAACAATTGCATCAAGTTATTGCTGCTAGAGGTGGTTCTACAAGCTATTGAATCATAAGCACCTAGTTTTTCACACGTGGCTTCTCCATTTTGGCTTTAGTTTTGTAAAATAAATCATGACACGGTGTAATATATGTCATATGTTGTTCTTCCATTGAGGATGTATTTTTAAAAAGTCAAGAGTATCTCCTTCTGTGTCAAAAATTTTCATTGGATGTGGTTTGACAGGGTGGTAGGTTCTTTGATTAATAGCATAATAAAATAATGGAGCCTCTGTGAAACGGATGATTCAGTCTGAGTTGGCCAGTGTAACCTTTTTTAGTTCTGAATTCTTCGGGCTATCCTTGGATGCTATGTTCACAGAAATATGGAACAAAATGAAAATCTTGCTTACAGCAAAGAAAGAAGAGTGAAAAGCTAAGCAATTCTACTGAACAGGCAGAGCAACCAGCTCATGCAAGATGTTATCTGTGTGGGGGAGGTCAGAGCTTGCACCCCTCTTCCTCAGCACAAATGGCGGATCAGTTCCCATAAGCTTATGAACCGTGGTTATGAGGATAGCAGCCACAACTTTAGTTCTGTAGATGTTCTGCTGTGCTTCACACTTTCTGCCATGCAATAAACATATAACTGCTTTCCCCATTCTGGCAGCTTTTTTTCTGAAAGTTAAACTGAGTAAATAACATAGTGTTTTTCCTCAGCTGAAATCTACAGTAAAACTGCTTCAATCTTTTGCCCTTTTGTACCCCACCTTTTTAAAATATCACCTCTTAGATGCTGGGCTTTTGTAGTGCTCTTCTCCACCTAACTGCTTAGCTGTGTGAGGTGCTGATTTCCCTTAATAGTTTTGGAAATTGTCATTTAAGTGCTTAAATGTTTACAGTCAGAGTTTTACTTAAAATCAGACTCAAGTAAATGCTTGAGAAGTATCCTGAGGAGTAAATCTGTGTGTCCCTCACCTGGGATAACCTCTCGAGACCTGCCTTGTATTTGAGACATTGTAATAAGGCTTAAGGAAAGTGATGTTAGCCTAATTCAAATATAATAGTAAATTATTGTTTCGTGTTAAGAAGGAGAAGCAAGCACAGACTTTTGTCCAATTCCCAATTCTGTCCGGCATGAATGAAATAACATTGATGAAAGATACAGGTTTGTTTCCGTCACTGTAGTTCAACACATAATCAAAGTGTAGTTCTAGATCTTTGTTTTTAAATTACCCATAACTAGGGCAAACCAGTTTTACTTATTCAAATCTAATGTGAAACTCTGATCTGAGAAACTTTGTTCAAAACTAAGAGGAGGGAAGAGAGAGGATTGAAGAGGGAGAAAATGTAGCCATGAGTCCTCTTGTGGTCTGTTCTAGTGACAACAGACCATAGGTTTAAGATTCTTCATTTGAGCTACTCTCTGAAGGTTGCAGAATTGTATCTATTGCAGGCAACCTGCAGGTCATGTCTTGTCTGAAATTTCTGAAGTACCTTACATTGCAGATAACATAGCTGCAAACACAGCTTTCCAAATAAGTCCCCAAAAGTTACTAGTTCTATGTTTTTAATGAGTCCATATCATTCAATTAGCCTAAAAAGTAAAGGGACTAATATGGTTTGTGTACAAAATTCATACCACATTGCCTGGAGATGGTTCGCGTTTGTAGCTAGATGAGTCATTCCTTCACCTGGCATCACTGAGTGATAGTTTTCCTATGTATTATTATGGCATATTTTGGGGCTAACTCCTTCCAACATACAATCTGGGAATAGTTCTTTTAGTTCACTTTTCAACAGGGAAGTTGTTCAGGCTCTTCAGAGGAAGTCTCTGAAGTGTTTATGCATGTACAGAAAAGCTCAGAAAAAATGTGAAATCATTTTGTAAATCCTTAAATGTCCACTTTGTATAAGTAAAGCAAAACTGGAAACTAGAATGATCATAACGATGGATGAGATGGATTCAGACTTCTTGTTTTTTTAAAGTGTGGTTTTTATAAGCTAGATTGGCTGTTAGAGCACATGTGCCTGTGTGGCAAACTGTCCCTCTCATCTTTCATTCTTCCTCCTGCCTGTGATCCATGAGGTACCTCTGGAAGCACTGCAGTGCATGAAGTCAACAATCCCATTGGCAATAATCCTTCTTGTGATTGCTCCTTGGCAGTTGCTATACAGTAGTGTAATGCCTCAGAACCTGGAGACAGAGATGTCACCATTGTGACTTCTATCCATGGATGGGCTTCTCTGATTTACCTTTCCAGAAACTAATGATGTCACAAGATGCCACCACTGCATCTTGTACCAGATAATTCTAAATCAACTATGTCCCATATGAAGAACAATCTTTAGTCTGTCCTTAATCTCTTGCTGCTCCATTTGTAACGGAAGACCCTAGGTTCTAATATTTGGTTAGAGGAGTATGGTCTCCCGTCCCATCCCCCCAATCCTCCTCTTTCTGCTAGTTCCACAGAATTTTAAACACATTTTCTTCATTCTCTTCATGTGAATTCTTAGATCTCAGAACATTAGAGAATAGAAAATGTCAGATAATAATATTTGTCAGATTATATATTCCATATGAAAGGCATCCCAGAATCCTACTGCTTCTTGTTAAGTATATACAAAAACAGGAAAGTCTTCAAAAAGCTAATAAAGAAGGAAAGTATCATTGCTTAATTTCTGCTTGACAAGTAGCCACAATTATTTATTTATTTCTAAACATTTGTATCCTGCCCAACTTAGTGGGACCACTATTATGAGTATCTTTACAGTATCAAATACTGTACAGTGGTGCCTTGACGTACGAACTTAATTCGCCCCAGAAGATGTCCGTAAGTCAAAATGTTCGTAAGTCAAATCAGCATTTCCCACAGGAATGCATTGAAACCCGATTAATTCATTCCAGCTGTTTTTTGTTCTTATGTCAAGGCATGGTTTGTAAGTCAAAGTACTAGTTCCCATAAGAACTAATGAAAACTGGTTAATCTGTCCTCTATCACTTGGGGGAGAATTTTTCTTCTTTTAACCTAAGATGAACTTAGGTTAAAAAGGGGACACGAAAGAATGTCATCAATGGGGCACACAGACCCCTCAGACAAAGGTTTTTTAAGCACAAAAAGAGAGAAGACAGAGCGCGAGAGAAGACAATGGGGGGAGAGAGTTTGGAGTCTAAAACACATTTTAAACCTACACATTTTACAACAACACATTTTAAACCAAACACATTTTAAACAAATCACATTTTAAAACCAAACACCTTTTAAACCCTCCCACCAACACTTTTTAAAACAAAAGAGATACCACAGTACACAAACCCTATGAGCAACAGAATCCAGCAACCATTATTCCAGCAAACAGACTCCCTCAGCACAAAATGAGAGCATAGAGAGAGAGAAGACATTTGGGGCGGGGGGGGGAGAGACTTGAGTCTAAACTCCATTTTAGAACAAACCAGCCAGCACAGACCCTTGCAGAAAGGGTCTGAAAGACCCATCAAAGCAAAAAGCAAGGGAGGCATGCAGGAACCATTTTAAATGCACAGAAAACAAATGCAGATCAGAAATGCACAAAGCAAAAAGCAAGGGAAGCATGCAGGAACCATTGCAAATACACAAAACAAACGCAGATCAGAAATGCACAAAGCAAAAAGCAAGGGAAGCATGCAGGAACCATTGCAAAT